GATTTCTTGAGTACCTGGTATTTCGGGTACCAAAAAATGCGAGTACAAGAATTTGAACACCTCTACCCGCTACCCAACTGGATACTCATCACTCATCTCGTGTCCGTATGTACCCGTTCATACCCGCTTAGCAGACTCAATTCTAAAGATTGAGAATTTGAGATAGTAGAAACAACGGTCTTTAATTTTAAAAATGTTTATACCCTAACATTTGGTTAAATTACAAGTCATTTCCTATAAAATCCTAAGATTTATAGAATAGTATATGAAATTATACTTAAATTTCATAATAATCCAAATTTTATACTATGAATGGTTAGTGGATGGGTGAATGGGGAGCGGACGGATACAAGATGGATAAAGTCTTAAATCCATAATCTACTCACTATTCATGATGAGTTTGAATCCATTATCCATTAAACTTATATCATCTCTATCTCATTTAAAACAAAAAAAAAATGCAAAATTCTCAAAATAATCCCCCACCACACCCACACCCACATGCATGATCATGGTACTAACATGTGCTCTTTCCCACCTCTTGCTAGGAGAATTAAATAAATTGAAGAAGCCAAATATAATTATGATTAAGTAGCACTTAATGGGAAATTAATGAATGATGAAAGACAAAGCAAAAAGTTGACTGATGTTGGCGGTCTAAGTACGTGATCACTGAATGCCATCTGATGATCTTTGATGGGGAAAATGATAAAAATAAGCCCATCTCATCCGTTTTGCTGCACCACCCTCTCCATTCATACAATATATTTATAATTTTTTGATGTAGAAAATAATATCAATTAAATTAGAATTCGATTAATCTAATTGCGAGATTATATTAATTAAAAAAAGCTTGTTATGGATCACGTGTATACAACAGTTGTATAAGGCGTAAGATTGGGATGAAAGTGATGTCGTTTATTAGTTGTTTAAATAGCGTCTAAAGATGAATCCAGAATCCAAAACAATTATATAGTATGGTTGAATCATTTCAATTGGATTCAACTCTCAAGCTCTCATATCAAAGAACCAAAGTTTTTTGGGTCAAACAATGACATAAAAGAATGCATACATGTAGGAAGAGACCTCCCCTCCTTTGCTCCTGCTGTCCCCTCCAGAGGGCACCTATTTTGTTTTCTACCTTTCAACGTCAAAACCTCTGAAACATTATCTAGCAAATCCCGATATCTATGTCTTAAACACACTGATTCCGTATTATAATATTGTTTTTAACTCGTATTTCTTCTTCTCTTCTGTACTGTTCACCCAACAAATTAATGAGGATTTGTGCTTTGACACGGCCTAATCTTGTAGCTGAGGTGACTTCTCATGCATATACCCCCTTTATCCAGGAAGAAGGTCCGCAGAATCAAAGACTCATGAGTTATTCAAATGGTAGAGTTGTACCGTCTGAATTCTATCTGATTTCGAAACGAAAATTTTACGATGTAATTCTATTGGAAATACTATTAGGAATGGTATTTAAGGCTTGGCTTTCTCACTTCCTTGTTGAGTGATAGAGAATAAGGGGGACTCTCGCGCGTCGCCGCCGTCCGTCTCGTCTCGGGTCGTGATCGTGGTCGTGGTAATATGTGTCTTCGACACGTCCGCGCGAATACTATTTTTTTAGAGAAAATTCTTAAGAAACAAATGCAATACCACCCGTCGTTGCGATTTTGGACTATCGCAACGAACTTGGAATAAATCGCAACGCGAACTTCGACTATCGCAACGAACTTGGAATAAATCGCAACGCGAACTTCGACTATCGCAACGAACTTGGAATAAATCGCAACGCGAACTTCGACTATCGCAACGAACTTGGAATAAATCGCAACGCGAACTTCGACTATCGCAACGCGAACTTGGACTATCGCAACGAATTTGGAATAAATCACAACGCGAACTTCGACTATCGCAACGAACTTGGACTATCGCAACGCGAATTTAGAATAAATCGCAACGCGAACTTGGACTATCGCAACGAATTTGGAAAATCGCATTGCGATAGTCGAAATTCGCGTTGCGATAGTCGATGTTCGCGTTGCGAATCTGGAAACTGATTTGCGATACCGGAGATCGCGTTGCGAATTATCGATCGCATTGCGATTTAGTCGGTCATTTTGGCAAATCCAAAAAAAATTGGTTAAAATCGTATATTATAAGACATTTTTGGTCACTGAGGTTATTTTCTCTAAATAAAATAGAGAGGAAGGATTGGGGATATGTGGCGGTGGAGGTCCTCCGGCCTAATACGGACCTTGTCATCTATAAAGATGATCATAGGTCGGGTTGGACTCCTCTACCCATCACCCGTTTCAAAATTTGATCCTAATTTTGGGGTGTACAGATTTATTTGGAAAAATACAGATAGAAAGGCATTTTAACCATTATCTTTAAATATATAAATGTCTCTTATATTATTATTCAAGTATGTCAAATACATGTTATCTTAAACTCGAATCGAACCCTATCTTTCTCTTAAAAAAATCTCGATATAACTCAATTTTTTTAAAAAAAGAAAACAACCTCATATGATCATATTAGGTCGAAACATGTTTAGTTTAAATGCACATCCCTAGTCATACATGTTGAATACATATAAGACTATATTTTTATATTTAAACATTGATTAAGAGTAAAAACTTAATTTAAATAAATTTCTTGTAATATAATTTTTTTGTAATCAAATTATTATTCATATAAATAGGTATATGTAATTAGAGTAGAAAATTCTATTAAATATAAAAAATTATGCATACGACCCTTTTATAGTTTTCTTATTTTTAATACTATTCTTTTGCATATGATTTTTCTATAGAATTTTTTAAAATAAAATTAATATATTTCTTTTTTTGGTACCATGAAGTTTAGGTTCACGGGTGGCTTTCCCAGTTCAGGACTAAAGCATATTTAAGATTCAATTGAGATTTATATGGAAATTTACAGATTACCCACTAATAGTGACGGTGGTAGAATTTGAACTTAACTTTACAAACTCAAATTTCAGAATCAAAACCACTTGTATCAACACTCGTTGACGTAAAATTAAGTTATTTCTTTTCTTATTTTACGATCGTTTTACTTACATTACCTATATATAATATAATAAACTTTGACGTTGCATGCTTATTAGAGTAGTACTGGGTGTGTCTTGGATCCTTCAAAACCGGGTGTGTCACAGTGTAAGATGCAAGAAAACACTTATTTGACCCCAGATTTACTTTACAAATCCAGCGGGAGAGTTCGTGGTTTAGAACTAAAATAAATATTGGTTTCCAATCATAAATTTGATGATTCCAGGCAGAGTCCATCGCTCAACGTTATATTCAATTTGTTGTGGTGACGACTTAATAGAAATCTACATCATCTATCAAGTCAAGTAGAGATAAAAGTAGAATTTAAACTTATAAAGGGGACGAAAAATATTTTTAATAAGAATATGTAATAATATCTAAAATATATAGTAATTTTAAATTTTCAAGCCGTGCTCGCTTTCGCTCGTCCCGCCTACGTCCATCCTGTATGGAGGAACGAACCCTTTTGTCCAGTCCACATTCTTTCGACAGCTTGAGATTGTTGCACTTCTTTCCATTTTTCTCGAAATCTTTCATTTATTGAGATTTTTAAAATTTTATATCGTCTAAATAATTTTTTTAATAATTATAGATTTTCAATAACTATAACCTTCTAACTCGACTACTATTAAATTCATTACCAATAAATTATGTCACATTAGATCATATTAATTAATTTTATCAACCAACGAATATAAATATTATAGCCTTAAACTACACTCACATACACTAAAGGTCCGTACATAAATCACCTGGTACAATGAATAAAGGGATCACAAAAATTCTCTCTATCATTCTCCATTACACAATTCATCATCAGAAAAATAACTAACTGCGACTCTGACGAATCAGATAGCGTGAACTGCCTACAACTAACACATTTCTACAAGCTACAATCAACAGGGGTCAACCAGGAGAGTCAGCTATACAGATATATTTGGGGTATGTAAATCTACCTCTTTCTCTTATATGATTCATATCCGCCATGTGTAATGCCACCTAAACTCGTTGCCAACAACTTGCAAGTCGCTGATATAGATGATAGAATAATGTGCGGATTAAAGTAGTGCCTCCCTTAAGATCCCTTGGCAGTGGCGTTATACAGGGGTCTGTGATGGCCGATTTTCGTGATTGCAACTTTGTCCTACCCTTTCATGGAAAGCTTGGATTTGTTTCTAAATCATTATCTTCTTTTTCTCCCCCATCCCATCTGCCTCATCTTATGGTTTGCTACTCAAAATCCCTCGAGAATTAGTTTAATGATGGGGAAAAATAGGGTGACTTGTAGGTTATAGTTATAGGTTGTATTGACCAGCAATAGCCGCATCTAATCACACAGCTAGGTGGACAACACCACGTGTGTAGGACCAGCACTCTCTACTTCCCTTACATTTCCTATTTTTAATTTATTCATCTTGGCAGAGATTTTCTATGGGTAAATTATACCTTTCATCACTTGATTATCTTGTCAATTTTATTTTGGTTATTAATGTTTAAATTTTTTGAATTTAATAGCTAAACTTTTCATGCTCTGGTGACTAATTTATTTTATTAATGTCATTCTATCATGTGACATTCTAAATCCTATATCCAAATTCAAAATTATACCTTAAATATTAAACTCCAAATCACATATCTCTATCCCACTCGATCGTCGATGGCCTCACCCTCATTAACCTTTCCTACCTCAAAAAATCTGAAATATAAAATAAGTCACATCGTAAAAATATTGATAAAGTAATCCGATGAAACATGAGTAGTTTAAAAGTTTAATTATTAAATTAAAAAATTTTATGTATAAGTGACCAAAATAGTAGTGAAAATATAGTTGAGTGGTGAATGAGAATAGTTTACTCATTTTTTTATTATACGTCATTTCTAAAAAGCCTCCAAGAATATGTTATTTATCACTTCCCCCCTCCTTCTCCTTCCTCTCATCAGCACTTCCCTAGGAACACATTCCAGCTCCCAAAGAGAGAAAGAGAACGGCCTGCCTTTTAAATATGAGTGCATGCCCCATAAATTGCACAGCGGTATGTTCCATGCCTCTGTTCTTCTCTTACCATTCTCATTGTCTTCGTTTAAAGTTGATAATTAGGTTGCTTTATAAAATTTGTCATCTCTTACTTGTTTCTTCAAAGACACTAAGTTGTGTGTGTGTGTGTGTGTGTTTTATGTTGTTTTTCGTAGGTTAAACAGCAGTTGAGGAAATGTTCTAGTATAAGCAAAGACGGTAACCAAATGTCGAGAAGTAATCCTTGCCGGTGGCCAGCCATGTTGCCGGATTATGATCCAAACGACAATGAAGCCGGAATGAAGATCCTGGAGGACCTGACTCAAAATGTTCACCAAATACAGCAATTGGTGTTGGAGGAAATAATAACACGAAATGAGCATACGGAGTATCTCAAGGGCTTCCTTAATGGACAGTGCGACATGCAGGCTTTCAAGAACAAAGTTCCCGTGGTGAATTATGAAGATATCAAAGTTTATATCGAGCGAATCGCCAATGGGGATTCCTCCAACATCATTTCTGCTGAACCAATTATTGAATTGCTCACAAGGTATATATAATATATTGCTTTAACTATCTATATGATCATGTATGATATTACTTCAATAATCATTTTTATCTTTCTTTGATGAAGCTCCGGTACTTCGGGTGGCCGGCCGAACATGATGCCTTCAACTGCTGAAGACCTGCATAGGAAGACATTCTTTTATAATCTGCTTGTGCCTGTGATGAACAAGTGAAATTCTTATTTCTGTTTCTTTTTGACATATTATGTTCTTTATTGTCGTTTTTCTCATGAAAAAGATGATAATCGCAGGTATGTAGATGGCTTGGACGAAGGGAAAGCAATGTATCTTTTGTTTGTTAAACCGGAGACCAAAACTCCTTCTGGTCTAATGGCGAGGCCGGTTTTAACAAGTTATTACAAAAGTAGAAATTTCAAGAACCGATCCTTCAACCGGTTCAATGTTTACACCAGTCCTGATGAGACAATCTTGTGCTCCGACAGCAAGAAGAGCATGTTTTGTCAATTACTTTGCGGTTTAGTACAACGACGAGAGGTTTTAAGAGTCGGTGCAGTTTTCGCTTCTGCTCTCTTACGGGCCATCAAGTTCTTGGAAGATAATTGGAAAGAGCTCTGCTCCAACATTAGAGCCGGTCATTTGAGTGACTGGATCACCGATCCCGGTTGCAGGAACGTCGTGTCGTTAATTCTAAGCGAACCGGATCCCGAATTAGCCGACACGATCGAACATGAATGCAGCAGTGAATCATGGGAAGGGATAATTAAGAAACTCTGGCCTAGAACAAAATACATTGAAGTCATTGTAACAGGTTCCATGGCACAATATGTTTCGACTCTCGAGTTCTACAGTGGAGGGCTGCCTTTGGTTTCCACGATGTATGCTTCTTCAGAATGTTATTTTGGAATCAATTTGAAACCACTGAGCCAGCCTTCGGATGTCTCGTACTCGCTCATCCCGAATATGGCCTACTTCGAGTTCTTACCGGTGAAGAAGAACCATGAAGATGTCCAGTGCAATGGTGTTTGTGAAGAAAATTGCAGCAAAGACGTCGAGCCGGTTGATCTCGTGGATGTAAAGCTCGGCCAGTATTATGAACTCGTTGTCACAACTTTTACAGGCTAGTTTTTAACTTCTTGTTACACGTTCCATTCATATGTAAGTTTTTTCTGGGGTTTAATTGAATGTTATTTAGCAGGCCTGTATAGATATAGAGTCGGAGACATTCTAATGGTGACCGGATTCTACAACAAAGCTCCTCAATTCCGATTCGTGCATCGGCGGAACGTTGTTTTAAGTGTCGACACAGACAAAACCAATGAGGAGGACCTGTTAAAGGCAGTGACAAAGGCAAAGCTCCTAGTCGAGTCGCTCGGTTTCCTGTTAATCGAGTACACAAGCTATGCCGACACTTCCTCCATTCCAGGTCATTATGTTATATTCTGGGAGCTCACAAGCAAAGGGAGCAATCATGTTCCTGTACTTGATCCTAAGCTAATGGAGCAGTGTTGCTCCGTGGTGGAAGAATCTCTGGATTCTGTTTATAGAAGATGTCGGAGAAAGGACAATTCGATCGGGCCGTTAGAGATTCGAGTGGTGCGACACAGAACATTTGATGCACTCATGGATTTTTGTGTGTCGCAGGGATCTTCAGTTAACCAATATAAAACTCCGAGATGCGTTAAATCTGGGGAGGCCATTAATATATTAGATTCCAGGGTGGTGGGAAGGTTTTTCAGCCAAAACGCACCATCTTGGGAGCCTGTTTAGAGTGGGAAATGAACCTGAAATTTGCATTTCCCCAAGGTTAATTTTCCTGGAATTCTGTGGAATAATTTGTATCGTAGTTCTCTTGTCCTTTAGTTTCTTTTCTTTTTTCAGTGTCTGCTTGTTGTGTATTAAAACCAGACATAAAGACTAATGAGACAACTCAATCTCCTTTTGTACGACTCTCTGTCTGGTCTAAAATCAAAGACAATTCTTCTTCCAATGCTTGCATGCTAAAATGATGAAAGGAAAAATGGTGGGATATTAATTAGTGGTGAGCAATGATCCACCATGCACCTAAAATTCATCATGTGGAGGGGGAATGATCCCATTTATCAGTAATCAGACATTGTAGTAAGATGGCTCAACTGCAGCTGTGCTTTATGAACTGTCATTTTGCAATTGTCGCTGTCGAAATCCATCTTTTTCTGGGGAGTAAATTCAGACCATAGTAAGAGATATAAATATGGTTTAGCTAATGAGATACTGTTCACGAAGGATCATGGGGGTAGCGATGATAATGCAAGTTGCAAGATAGGTTGGCACATTTAAACTTCATTTACAGACACATGATTTCTCGCTTTTTGTCTCTATTTCCCGGCATATCTAAAACGTGCGTTTCTCATTTGCATTGCGTGGCGAACACTCAAAAGTAGGGGTCGACATGTCTGTGGTGTCAGGAGTTTTACAGCGGGGCCATGAGTCAAAACATATTGGCAATGCAGGCAAAGGCCAAGATGCGGCCACGACGAACGTTAGGCGGAGATCCATGGGCTATGGACAAGGCGGTAGGGGACAAGGAAAACAACACAAGGAGACATGAAAAACTGTAGAAGCGAAAGGGGGGAGAGACTGGATGGGCAGGCGGTTCTGATGCATTTATGAGCAAACGTGTGGCCTTAACCACCGGCACCTCCGCCCCATCAGATGGGCTTATCCTTCCACCATCGGTGGCTGATCCCCTTGCCACGGGTGTTTTTACCCTAGTAAAACGGTACATGAAAAAGAGTTCAGAAGCACAAGCTAAAAAGCAAGGGGTACAAGGTGTCTTTCTTTGGCGGTTAGTAAAGAGTAACCAAGACCAGGCACACGTGTGTTGGAGACACTTGGGAGAAAAAGACAAGCTCTGTAACTGCCTTTTTTGACCCCAGACCTGGAGGGTTGAGCGTCCTTTTTGATGGGCCTGGCTGCAAATGAATGCAAGATCAAAATAGTAGGAGATTAGGACCTTCCCTTGGCGTAAATTGGGGGATAAGGCAATGTTCCTAGCGCCATGCGGGGTTGAAAGTGAAAGGACTTGCCATGTGGGACATTGTTGCCTTTTCCCTAATCTCAGTTTTAGTGACTGAGCACTGCCAACACCTACCGTCCCTGCATGTGCTTGACGATCTCCTTAATCTGGGCAATTAGGGAAGGGACATAGTTTCAGATATGTTACTTTTTTCCTCTCCCTTTTTCATTTCTAGATAACACCTACTGATCTTGACTGTAGCCTTTGGCCCAAAATTAATTTTTCCATACCACTTATTCTATCAGAATTGCGGTCCAAGAAATAGCTGATAGGCAGGGTGAAAACTACAACACTAACGACAGCCCTCTCACAGGGTAAAAAAATTAGGAATAAATTAATAAAATACATAAATAATGAAGATTAAATGTGAGATGATTTTAATAATGATCAAATTCATAGAATATGTAAGTACTATTACCTGAGTAATTGCATTAATAGTTAATAGTGGATGACTTGATTGAAATCAGATTAAAAATTTAATGCTTTAATTGAAATCAAACCAAGTTAAATAATACTCAAAGATCCATCATGCGATTCTCAAAGAGGCTTGAAATTTATCCCAGAAGATAGAAGCGATAATAATAACAGCCACCTCTAAAGCAGAGAAATAGGCCCAAAATGTCTCAATTATCTTCGTGTTTTTTTTCTCCATTGGGGCAAACAGCTTAACTAATTAGTCTGATAGGGTACATAGAAGTTTATTTAGGGATCTATAATATTTGCTACAGTAACTTGAAACTTGTTATGTCGAGATGACGAGTTCTAAAAAATATTTTTTATTAAAACTTTTTGTCTCGATGTGAAAAAATTTAATAAAAAATTATATTTTATTAAAAATCGTCATCTCGACGTGATGAGTTTGAATAAAAAAATATTATTTAGGCAAAACTCTTTGAACATTGTAGCAAATGGCTCAAAATAAATTTCTATATGTACTATTGTGCTCATTAATAAAACAGTTTGCGGGGAAAAAACCCCAATTATCTGGATGTTGAGGCCCATTTTTCTACTGGAAAACATGACACGGTTCGACATGCTTGATTCCCACGAAGCAGACGGATGTCGAACCGGCAAAACAAACGCTGCTTTCATTTTTACCTTCTTTTCTACACAACAGTTCAAATTAAAACTCTGTTCCTTGAAGCAATGCCTCCCAGTTTTCACTTTCAACTCCCCAACCGGAAACCTTCATTTCTTATTCACCCCACCCTAAACCAATAAAACCTCAACTCTAAGAAAACTCACCCAACTACTTCGATGAAACACGTCATATTTACATTTCTCTTAAACATACATGTTCTTCATTTCTTCATCCATCTGTCTTCCTTGTGCTGCATATTCTGCAACAACAACAAAAATGAGAGAATGGTCGTGGGGTTTTCTTTTAATTGCTCTTGCTTTCGCTTCAAGCATTGGCTTGCTGTTTCTGCTACTTAAAAGTTGTTTGTTGATTTCAATATTGAAGTGCTGGTGATGTCTTGGAAGATGACCTGAGGGAAGTTAAAAGTTTACGTATATGAGCTTCCGAGTAAATACAACAAGAAAATCCTTCAGAAGGATCCTAGATGTCTTTCGCACATGTTTGCTGCCGAGATTTACATGCACAGGTTTCTTTTATCCAGTCATGTACGAACTCTAAATCCAGGGGAAGCTGATTGGTTTTATACCCCTATCTACGCCACTTGTGATCTTACACCTACAGGCTTGCCATTGCCCTTCAAGTCCCCACGGATGGTGAGAAGTGCAGTTCAGCTTATTTCCTGTAGCTGGCCTTGCTGGAATCGAACCGAGGGTGCCAATCATTTCTTCGTGCCGCATGATTTCGGACCATGCTTTCATTATCAGGTGACTGATTCTGTACTAGTTTTGTTGTTTTGGTGCTTAACTGTATACTTTTGTTTATAACCTTATGGATTTTCCACAGGAAGAGAAAGCTATCGAGCGGGGGATCCTTCCTATTCTCCAGCGTGCTACCTTGGTTCAGACTTTCGGACAACGGAACCATGTGTGCTTGAATGATGGTTCGATTACGATTCCTCCTTATGCTCCGCATCAAAAGATGCAGGCACGCAAGATTCCGCTCGATACTCGTCGGTCTATCTTTGTTTACTTTCTGGAATTGTTTTATGATGTGAATAATGATCCAGAAGGTGGCTACTATGCAAGGTATGTTTCTTTTGCAGCTTTGAGTCTGTTAGGTTGATTGTTAACCCTCACCGAATCCAGTGCTGATTGGCAGAGGCGCACGGGCTGCTGTTTGGGAAAATTTTAAGAACAATCCACTTTTCGACATCTCCACCGAACATCCAACGACTTACTACGAGGATATGCAACGAGCTGTATTCTGCTTGTGCCCACTAGGGTGGGCACCCTGGAGTCCGAGGCTAGTCGAAGCTGTGGTATTAGGCTGCATTCCTGTTATCATAGCTGATGATATAGTTTTACCCTTCGCTGATGCTATCCCCTGGGAGGAAATCGGAGTGTTTGTTGCAGAAGAAGATGTTCTCAAGTTGGATACGATTCTCACGTCGATACTGCCGGAAGTAATTTTAAGGAAACAGAGGCTTCTCGCTAATCCGTTGATGAAACGAGCCACGTTGTTCTCACAACCTGCACTGCCGGGAGAAGCTTTCCATCAAATACTGAACGGCATAGCTTGGAAATTGCCGCATCAGAAGAGTATCAACTTGAAGCCCGGTGAAAAGATTTTGAACTGGACAGCAGGACCGGTCAGGGACTTAAAACCTTGGTGATGCAACTGTTCTTTGACATTCACTGCCTCACCTAGCCACTTCATTGCCTTTTACTGAATTCTGATTTTTTTTCCAAATTCTTAGTTTTGTATAGAAGCTTACGTATGGAAATACATACCTGGATATATATACATTTATGAAGCCTCAAACTGATCATGAATATTTATGCCCATGGCCAAAAAACAGTAAGAAAATAGAATCCAGAGAATGCTCAAATAAAGAAACCAAAGTTTGAAAACAGAACAAAATAAGCAAAATGCTAAAGAAAATGAGTTAAACCTGCAAATCAACATAAACATAATCCCTTCCTAATAAATAGAGAGCTGTCGATGCTTGTAGCGAACCATCACCTTTCCTTTCACGCCAACCAGCATGGCGTTCCAGTCGATCTCAGGAAAAGGTGACACAAGCTCCAACTCGAAGTTCCTCAACAAATTGCTCCATATAGCCTTTATCTGAAGGTAAGCAAACGGTTCGCCAAGGCAACCATGCCTGCAAGGAAATATACGAGAAAGCCCCCGCTGTTGTGAAATTCGGGTTAATTTCCACCAATAACAGATTCACCTTGAAAACTATTATCTAGGTGACTAGTGTGAAAACGATTGTACTAAAAATCACCCCAAGGTAGATTCCCAGGAAAGAGGAGGGGTCACAATGGTCCCTCTTAAAACCCACTTTCCTTAGACAGAACTACCAAGACAAGTAATTTTAATAGGACAATAATTGACAACAACTATACCCGACAATAGCTATTAAATAGACATAAAAGAGAACACCAAAATATTTCACTAATAGAGGAAATATTACAAAGAGAGAAAGAATACAAATAGCCTTTAAAATAGAAGAAGGCTTATATTTGTGGGATGATTAACTAAGGAGGAGAAGGGCTTTATTTATAACAAAAGAATTTCCCCTCCTCCTTATACACAACCAATGTGGGACTTTTGCCAAAAACCAACAAATCTCCACCTTGGCAAATTCCACACACATCTCTAAAAAAAACAATCTTTTAATTTGTAACAATATTGACCAAATCTAAACAATGTTTAAACTTGACCGCAGTTACCACTTTTGTCAACATATCAGCAGGATTCTCAGTGGTCCGAATCTTCTGGATTATGACTCCACCTTCTTCTAGAATCTCTCGTACAAAGTGATATCGAACATCGATGTGCTTCGTCCTTGCATGGTAAACCTGGTTCTTTGCTAAATGAATAGCACTCTGACTGTCACAGTGCACTTTGATGTGCTTTTGTTCCATTCCCAATTCACCAAGCAACCCTTGAAGCCAAATTGCCTCCTTCACAGCCTCTGTAACTGCCATATACTCTGCCTCTGTAGTAGACAAAGCCACTGTTGACTGTAAGGTGGACTTCCAACTGACTGGTGCCTTTGCAAATGTAAACACATAACCAGTAGTTGATCGACGCTTGTCCAAATCACCTGCATAGTCTGAATCACAATACCCAACTACACACTGACCATCTTGTTTGTCCTGCTGAAAGACCAAACCAACATCTACGGTGTTCAGAATATACCGCAGAATCCATTTCACAGCTTGCCAATGCTCCTTTCCAGGATCATGCATATACCTGCTCACAACCCCAATTGCCTGTGAAATATCGGGTCTCGTACACACCATTGCATACATCAAGCTACCAACAGCACTTGCATACGGAACCTTTGACATGTATTCCCGTTCTGCATCATCCTTAGGTGACATGGATGCACCGAGCTTGAAATGAGGAGCAAGAGGTGTACTAACTGGTTTTGACATCTCATTTATGCCAAAACATTTTAGTACCTTCCTCAGATATTCTTTCTGAGACAAACAAAGCCTCCCCAATTTCTTATCCCTTGATATCTCCATGCCTAGAATCTTCTTCGCTTCACCAAGATCCTTCATCTCAAACTCCCTGTTCAATTGAGTCTTTAGTTTCACAATTTCTGTCTGACTCCTGGAAGCTATCAGCATATCATCAACATAAAGAAGAAGATATATATAGGATCCGTCTTCTAGCTCGCGTAAATACACACAATGATCATATTTGCTTCTTGTGTACTTCTGCCCTATCATAAACTTGTCAAATCGCTTGTACCACTGCCTTGGAGATTGCTTCAATCCGTACAACGATTTTTCTAATTTGCACACCATCTCTTCTTTTTCAGCAACTTTGAATCCATCTGGCTGAGTCATGTAGATTTCCTCATCCAAGTCTCCATGTAAAAATGCAGTTTTTACATCCATCTGAACTAGTTCCAAATCCAACTGCGCTACCAAAGCCAACAAAATTCTGATGGAGGAATGTTTTACAACTGGAGAAAATACTTCATTATAATCAACTCCCTCCGTTTGAGCGTAGCCTTTAGCCACCAATCTTGCTTTGTAGCGGATGTTATTCTTGTCAGGAAATCCATCTTTCTTTGCATATACCCACTTGCACCCAATTGCCTTCTTTCCCTTGGGAAGACTAGCTAGTTTCCACGTCTGATTCTTTTGAAGGGATTGTATTTCTTCATTCATGGCAATCCTCCACTTTTTATGTTCTGAACTTTGAACTGCTTCATTAAAAGTGGCAGGAACGTCATCAATTGCAATTGGTGATGCAAAAGAGACCATATCAGCATAACGAGCAGGTTGTCTAATGGTCCTCTTTCCCTTTCTGAGTGCAATTGATTCATGTTGCTGTGGAGGTTCTTGGGTTTGAACCTCTTCTTCATCTGACTCTTCTTCTACCATAGGAGAGTCAACATCATTTTCTTTACTGGTTGGGACAAATTTGCTTCCTTCAAACTCCACCTTTTTGGGAGTTCCATCTGTCTGCTCCAATTTTTCTGAAGTCACCTTTCTCAACATGGTAGATTCATCAAAGGTAACATCCCTGCTGAAGATTATTTTCTTTGTTTCTGGACACCAAAGACGATAGCCTTTCACACCAGAGGTGATCCCCATAAAAATCGCCTTCTTTGCTCTTGGATCCAGCTTTGACTCCTTAACATGGTAGTATGCAGTGGAACCAAACACATGTAAGGAATCATAATCTGTAGCAGGTACTCCAAACCATTTCTCTAATGGTGTTTTACCACCAATAGCAGTCGATGGTAAGCGGTTGACAAGGTGACAAGCATAGACCAAAGCCTCAGCCCAAAATTCTTTGCCTAACCCAGCATTAGACAACATACACCGAACCTTCTCCACTAATGTCCGGTTCATACGCTCTGCCACTCCATTCTGTTGTGGTGTACCTCTGACAGTGAAGTGCCTAACAATACCTTCCTCTTCACAGACTTTCAGAAATGGATCATTTTTGTACTCTCCACCATTGTCTGTACGGAGACGTTTGATTTTTCTGCCTGTTTGAGTCTCCATCATCTTTTTCCATTTAAGGAAAAATCCTAGCACCTCATCCTTTGTCTTCATTGGATACACCCAAACTCTCCGGGAAAAATCATCAACAAAGGTGACATAATAGTGTGTTCCTCCCAATGAAGTTGTCTTGGAAGGCCCCATACATCTGAATGAACATAATCCAAAATACCTTTAGTATCATGGATTGCTGTTCCAAATTTCACCCTCGTCTTCTTCCCTTTGATGCAATGCTCACAAAAAGCTAATTTGCAAGCCCGAGCACCCTTCAATAATCCTTGATCTATCAGTAATTTCAAGGATTTTTCACCAACATGCCCCAAGCGCATATGCCATAACCTGGTTGCTTCTGACTCCTGTTCATCAGTAGAAGCTGCCACTGCTGCTGTCCCAACAATTGTACTACCCAGAAAGTAATACACATTGTTTCTTTTTCGGATTCCCTTCATTATCACCAGTGCACCAGAGATAATCCTCATAATCCCATCTTTTGCCCTCACTTCTAAACCTTTTGACTCTAAGGTTCCCACAGAGATGAGATTTCTCATTAAATCTGGTACATAATGGACACCTGTTAAGGTTCTGATTGATCCATCCTGATTCCTCAAGCGAATTGAACCAATCCCAAGTGTGTCAAGAGGGGAATTATTTGCTGTGTAGACAATTCCACCTTTTAGTTCTTTAAAATCAAAGAACCATTCTCTATTGGGGGTCATATGGTGGCTACAAGCTGAATCTAACAGCCATGAACTGGAACAGCTGGTTGATGGCGTAGCAGCGAATGCGAAATCTGAATCTCCATCATCATACTCGACCACATTTGATTCTGAGACAGCCTTCCCCCTTTCAGGTTTGCCTTTATTCTTTAGCCTGGGACATTCTTTCTTCCAGTGCCCTTTTCTCGACAAAAGGCACATTCATCTTTGCTCAATCTGGACTTTGACTTCGATCTCCCTCTGCTTCCTTTATTCTGACTCTTGGAACGGCCTCTAACAACAAGAGCTTCTGCTTCGACACTTGTGTTTTCTTGTTTGTCTTTCTTTCTCAATTCATAACTATACAAGGCAGCAGTTACTTCACTGAGAGACACATCAACCTTCCCATGAAGTAGAGTAGTTTCAAGATACTCAAACTCATCAGGAAGTGATCCCATCAACATCAGAGCCAGATCTTCGTCTTCAAAAGTCACGTCCATATTCATCAGATCAGTCACCAGCTGATTAAAGCTAGTAATGTGATCATTCATAGTGGTACCTGGTACATAGTTGAAGCGGAACAGTCTCTTTTTCATGTAGAGTTTGTTCTGACCGCTTTTCTTCAAAAATTTCTCCTCCAGTGCCTTCCACAATTTACTTGCAGAAGTTTCCTTAGAAAATGCATACTTCTGCTCTCTAGAAAGACACGATCGAATAGTACCACATGCCATTCTATTGATCCTCTTCCATTCTTTCTCCTCAACATCATCTGATTTCTCTCCTTCAATAGCAATGTCTAGACCCTGCTGAAATAGGGCATCTAGAACCTCGCTTTGCCACATGCCGAAATGACCGGTGCCATCAAAAATCTCCACTGCAAATCTAACATTTGTCACAGCATTTCTTGCCAAAATTGAAGATGAAGAAGCGTCTGTCATTTCTGCTACAAATTCTATTTAATAGCTGCCAAT